ATAGAAAGAGTGGATTGCCTATAAGGTTGCAGCTTTACAAAGACCCAGTCACCAACTGAAAACTGCCTGTCAGTGCGATGGGCATTTGCTTGATCTTGCATACGCTGTTGAGCTCGTGCTAAATGGTACTTAGCTAGTTGCATTTTAAATTCGCGGAGCAGCATAATGTTCTCAATGTCATCAAAAAGAGAGTCACCAGGAAGATAAGGAAGGTGAAGAGGCGGAGGATAGCCATAAAGTAGTTCAAAAGGTGAGGTCTGAATGGTAGAATGGTGTGATGAGTTATACCACAATTCAGACAAAGGCAAGAAGGCACACCAATCAGAGGGTGAATCAGAACAGAAATAGCGTAAATAAGTATCCAAACACCTATTAAGAACCTTAGTTTGGCCATCAGTTTGCGGATGATAAGCTGTAGAAATGTGCAAATGGACACCCTGAGCAAAAAGGAACTCCTTCCAAAATGTGCTTATGGAAATAGGATCACGATCACTGGTGATGGTAGCAGGGAACCCATGTAGTTTGAAAATGTGGTCAAGAAAAATAGGCACAAGGGATTGGGCAGTGTAGGGGTGAGCTAAGGCAATGAAATGGCCATACTTAGTCAATCTATCAACTATGACCCAAACAACAGTCTTTCCTTTTGATTTGGTCAAACCTTCAATAAAATCCATGGTGATATCTGTCCAAGGAACTGCAGTATACCTATAGATGCCCAGAGGGACATCTTGTGAAGCTCTGTATTTGCTTACAAGGGAGGCCTAGAGATTGGGCAAAAACTTGAGGAAAAAGATGGAGGGAAGAGTCGTATAGGCGTACATACAAGGAAAAAGGTGGCACAGGCTGCATGATGAAGGATTCTGACTACAAGTTATGGTGTGAGAAAGAGGCCTAAAGGAGGAATACCCTGGCCTTTAGATTTGTTCACAAAGCAGCTGGCTAGATGGCAAAGACACTATTAAATATTCGTAAGAGCTATGGGGTATGAGACTGATAAGCGCATCAGTAAACATTCGAGGACTAATGTTCCAAAGGGGAAAATGATGTTACACCCCATATTTTCGTACTTAAGAGTACGTCGTAAGTCAATTGATGTAAGCTCAGAAATGAAATCATCTTTAAAAAATTTACAAAGTAAGTTATTCATGTTACCGTGGAAGTTAATAATATTTAAGATCATGAATAACAAGTACCAAGATGGTTGAAAGGCTTAGAAGCTAAACGAATTGAAGAAGATAAGTTTTGTCGAAAGTCGATAAGTTTGGGGTTACACCCTGTGCGTCCAAAGGTGAGGTATAATGAATATGAGACTTGTTAATCATGATTTAATGAGTGTAATGTCATAATATGACTATATATGATGTTTATACATAAATATAAAGTTTGGGAAAAATTGGATTTAACTTACGAAAAAATCGAGTTAAGATTTATCTTGTAACGAGCCGTTTTGAGAAATTAAATTCGTACGCTTTATGGTGTCATTTTGGGACATATATCATACCAAAATGAAGGTCTTGTAACCTAGTTTCCAATGGTCCAAATAATTTTTTCATACGTCATCGGGGGTAGAGAAATATGGATTTTTAAACTAGGGTCACCAAGTCACGTTGCCGCACTTCGGAGAAACTGGCAGGTTTATAGGCCAAGTTGCGATGCAGTTTTCTCCAAATATATTGAGAGTTACATGGAGATATTTATATGGAGTTAAATCCCTATGTGTCTAGTTTCCAACTCTGCAAACCATTTGTCAATATGATATCGGATTAGAGAGATAGAAGTGTCCGAAGTGGCACTGCTCAAGCTGCCAAGCAGGCAGCTTACCCACCTGCTTGGAGAATTGAGGCGGTGGGCTTATAAGTTGCATTTATCCATTATATTTCGTCAATATCAAGAGATCAATTACTGCAAAACACTCTTAACCCTCCAAGAACTTGTCCAAGGTTCCAAGAACTAAACTCAAGAGAAATCAACACAAATCCTCATGAAAGGTGTTAAAGACTACAAGAGAATACTTCTATGATGTTGTGGTGTGATTGAGGGCTATTGTGAGCTAAGTTGAGATGGGGTTTCGAGTTTTAGCTGCTTTACAAGGTATGTATAACATCTTCTTGATTGTGCCTAAGGTTAATCTTGTGTTGGTTGTGTTGTTTGAGTGAAAAACCATAAGATGCACTTGAAGGAACATGGGATACGATTGTCTTTTTGGTTGGACTGTTTTGTGGTTAAAAATAAGGTTTGTGGTGGCTGAAAATTGTGAGAAATAATTTAATAATGTTGTGGCTGTTGTTTTTAAGCTTTCCTAGGTGTTAATTAAGTTGACTGAAGAAGAAAAGATGAAAAATAAGTGATTGACGATAAAAATTAAGGTGCTAGACGTATGGGGCTGTTTTGGAAGGCATTTTGTGGAGGTTTTAAACTAGAAATAATATTGTACATATAAGTATGATACTCTGAAGGTTGTAACCTAATTTATGGAATAAGAGTTGGATTCAATATATATCTTGTTATGGGTAAAAGAAATGAGCTTGCCGCTCAATATGATTGTTAAGATAATCAGAGAAACTCATATTGGATATATTGTTGTTGTTGCTAGTGTTGGTTATAGTTGTTGTTGTTGGGTTGTAGATGGCCCTTAGTGGTCTTTGGGATGTATTAAAAATAGGGGAGTTGCTGCCCGATTTTTCTTAAGTCATGCGACTAGCCAAATACGATGGTACGATATTATATGTTAACGACAATATCATTTCACTTGTTGTAGATGCAAGAAGTTGTGTTGAGCTTGGTTGAGTAATAAGGAAGAGATCATACAGGTATATTAAGACTAAGCCCTTCCTTCATTTTGGCATGATCTCGTAATTACACAAGTTTGATAACGAGGCATAAAGAGAAATTCATATTCCTGAATGTATGTACATTTTTCTAGTCTCATAAGTTACAGTATTCTCCCTTATCATATTCAATTGAGTATTGTCTTCTTCCAGTCAAGAGAGTAGAGAGCCTATATATACAGTATTACAGTATTTTCATTACCATCGAGCTATAATCGATGGGCAGGCCCCTATTGGGCAACCTCTGATCAGATGGTAAGTTATATACCAAGCCTACTGTGGCCGAGCGCCTATGAGCAAGCCCAACATGGCCGAGATACAGAGCCTAGTATGGTCGAGCGCCTATGAGCGAGCCTACTATAGCATAACATTTATATATATACCGAGCCTTATAAGGCCGGACAACTATTTTACTTACTCTATTGAGAGAGTTGAGTCAGTATCAACAGGTCAGCATAGCTTCAGATTATCTTTGACTCTCAATTACTTTCAGTTATTATATTATTAGTTCAGTTTCAGCTTTTAGTTATTCTGTTGCCTTACATACTCAGTACATTATTTCGTACTGACGTCCCTTTTGCTGGGGATGTTGCATTTCATGCCTGCAGGTCCTGATAGACAGCTGGATAGATCTTCCCAGTAGACAGAGTCAAACATCAGCTTGGTTGGTACGCTCCACTTTCTCGGAGTTACCAGGTCTATACCTTGGAGACTATTTTATATATACAGGTTTGATGGGTAGGTCGAGGCCCTGTCCCGATCATGATACAGTTCAGTTATCTCTAAGGGCTTGTAGACGAGTCTTGTATATTTTGGTTTATTAGTAGACGTTCATGGCAGCCTCATCAGCTTGCACAGTTTTATACATACATATATATATATATATATATGAGCTTTTGGGTTTGTTTACCCCTCAGATGAGAGAGATAATATTTTAAGATGATTCAGAGTATGGCCTCATCGGCCGATGTTAAGGGTTACCCCTCCAGAGTTCACAGTTACAGAGTGGTACGCTCGGGTCGAGTATGGCATCGGCTGCTTGTCGCAGCCCATTAGTTTGGGTCGTGACAAAAGAGGGATGATAGAAGACAAAACTAAACTGAATATGAAATCCCGATAAGGGAGGATGTTGTAACTTATGAGACTAGGAAAATGTACATAAATTCTGGTATATGAACTTCTCTTTATGTCTCGTTATCAAACACATGTAGTTACTGGATCATGCCAAAATGAAAGAAAGGTTTAGCGTTAACATACCTTAACTCCGTTGAGTCCTGAGTGCCTTCCAAGCAATTCTTCAAACAACTCAATTTAATGTACCACAGCATAAGGAGATTCAAAATCAGTGCTGAGTAAAGGCTAAGTCCGCAACCTAAACTAGTATGGCCGAGCGCCTATGAGCGAGCCTACTACGGCAAAACAGTTACACATATCGAGCCTTATAAGGCCGGACAATTATTTTACTTACTATATCGAGAGAGTTCAATCTGTATCAACAGGCAAGCATATCTTCAGATTATCTTTGACTCCCAGTTACTTTCAGTTATTATATTATCAGTATAGTTTCAGCTTTCAGTTATTCTATTGCCTTACATACTGGGTACATTATTTCGTACTGACGTCCCTTTTGCCGGGGGCGCTGCATTTCATGCCTGCAGGTCCTCATTGACACTTGGACAGACCCTCCCAGCAAACAGAGTCAAACATCAGCTTGGTTGGTAAGCTCCACTTCCTCCGAGTTACCAGGTCTAGACCTTGGAGTCCATTTTATATATACAGTTTTGATGGGTAGGTCGAGGCCTATCCCGACCACGTTACAGTTCAATTATCTCTAGAAGCTTGTAGACGAGTCCTGTATATTTTTTATATATCAGTAGACGTTCATGGCGGCTTCGTCGGCCTGCACATCTATACATATCAGCTTTTGTGTATGTTTACCCCATAGATAAGAGAGAGATTATTTTCATATGATTCAGAATATTGCTCATCGGCCTAAGTTGAGGTTTACCCCTCTAGTGTTCTTAGTTACAGAGTGGTACACTCGGACCGAGTACGGCACCAGGTGCCGGCCACGCCTCTTCAAGTTTGGGGCGTGACATGCGCACATAGTTGAGAACATCAAAACTGATGCCCTTCCAATAAAAGTAGGCCATCAATTTCCTAGTGGTTGCATCAATGCCAGAGTGACCACCATATGGAGAGGAATGCCACAGTTACAAAAGCTGTCATTAGGTCCAAATCATTTCCTACCATCAATTTACCCTTCCTCCTAAGCTGATTGTTTATCCAAGTGAAGTGTTTCTGCAAGTCAGTATGTAACTTCTGTTCCAAGAGGTACTTAAGGGCTTTTTGATCAGTCCTCACAATAAAATGGTGACCTAACAGATAGTGAGACCATTTGGTAATTGTAAACACCAGAGCCAACAACTCTTTCTCATACACAGACAAAGCCATATGTCTTGGAGCTAACCCCTTGCTGATGAAAGCTATAGGGTGGTCATTTTGCATAAAGACAACACCAATACCTGTGCCACTAGCATCTGTTTCAACTAACACAGGAGCAGAAGTAAGAGTTAACTTCAAAGCTGCAAATGCATCTACAACTTTAGCATTCCACAAAAAACCATCCTTCTTGAGGAAGTCAGTGAGGGGCCTACTAATAAGACCATATCCCCTAATGAACTTCCTGTAATACCCTGCCAGGACCAAGAAGCCTCTCAGTTGCTTAACAGCATTGCTGGACTGCTTCAATTTTCCTAGGATCAGTAGAAACCCCTCCAGCAGTAATAAAATGCCCTAAGTATTCCACCTTTGAAACTCCAAAGGCACACTTAGATTTCTTGGCTAATAGATTGCGAGTGACCATAGTATCAAATACCTGCTTCAAATGTCCCACATGATCTTGCAAATTAACATTGTAGATCAGAATGTCATCAAAGAACACTAATACAAATTTCCTTAGAAACTTCTGAAACAAGTGATTCATGAGACATTGAAATGTAGAGGGAGCATTAGTTAAGCCAAAAGGCATTACTAAATACTCATAGTGTCCAGAATGTGTTTTGAAAGTAGTTTTGGGAACATCCTCAGGTAGCATCCTTATTTGATGATAGCCAGATCTGAGATCAATTTTAGAAAAAATAGTAGCCCCAGCCAGCTAATCCAGACGATCATCTATAAGAGGTATGGGGAATTTATCCTTTATTGTGCAGTGACTCAACTCCCTGTAATCTACACATAGTCTCCAGGACCCATCCTTCTTCCTAACAAGGACCACAGGAGAAGAGAAAGGACTGCTACTGTACTGAATGACCCCTTGCTGCAGCATTTCATTAACCAACTTTTCAATTATGTCCTTCTTAATGGAAGAATACTTGTAGGGCCTAACATTCACAATATTTTGAACCAGGTTGGAGGGGTATTCTGTGGTCAAAAGCTCCCCTTTGAAGAGGTAGTGAAGTAGGTTCAGCAAAGATCAGTTGGTATTGATGCAACAACTGATCAATAAGGGAAGTACTATCAGATTTGGTCATGTGCAAAGCTTGACAGTGCATAACAGTATGTGAGCTAGGAATGCTATCCCTCACTTGCAGCATAAAGAACTGCATATCCTCCCCTTTTAATCTATTCAAGGACTTTGGACTGGAGACCTTACATTCCTCAAACACTCCCCTCAACAAGTGAGACTTTCCTTGATAATTGAAAGCCATAGTGAGCTTAGAGTAGTCCATGGTAATAGGGCCTAGTGTTTTCATCCATAAAGCTCCCAGAACCAGATCATATTTACCAACTGGAAATACAATTAAGTCAGATGAGAAGGTAGTACCCTGCAGGATCCACTCAAAACCCCTAACAACCCCAGAAATGGCTTCTAAGGTGTTGTTACCAAGGCTAAGCTTACCCTGGTAGGACAAATTTGACACCCCAACCTCTTGGCAGCCTTCTCATCAATAAAGTTATGTGTACTACCTCCATCAAGTAAGATTTGAATCGGCCTCTTCTCACTATATCCAGTGACATGAATGGTTTGAGCTCCTTGTAATCCACTTAAAGCACATAGGGATATCATAGGAGTATCTCCTTCCACAGTAGACCATTCTTCAGTAGAAGGACCCCCATCAGATTCCTGCTTAACAGCCTCTCCACATTCACCTTTTGATACTTCTAAATCCATCACAAATAATTGTTTAGGCAGGTTATATTTATGACCATCAGTGTATTTATCATCACAAAAATAGCAAAGACCCTGTGCCCTTCTAGCCTGCATTTCTGCAAGAGAAATAGTTCTCCTGTTTCTGGGAGCACTAACAGTGGTTGAAGGAGGTAAGGCCAGTCTAGGAGTGGAGGTAATAGAACTAGGATTATGTTTGATGATAGGTGGCTCATAGGAAGGCTTTTTGAGGTGATTAGATGACACAGAAGTAGTACTACTCCTTAGGGCTCTATCATTAGCAGCTAAGGTTGCTTCAGCTAATCTAGCTAGGCGATAGGTTTTGGACAAGGTTTGAGGTTCGTGCATTTTGATAGGGTTCACTAATTCCTCCTTCAATCCCCCTAAAAAGCAAGAGATAGCCTGGCTAACAGTTAGATCACACTGAGCTAATAGCCTAGCAAAAGCAAATTGGAACTCCTTCACTGAACCAGTCTACTTCAACTGCTTCAGTTCTAGCATAAGATCAGTATACTCCTCACTAAACGTTTCAGTCAAAGCCTCAATATACTCATCCCATGGTGGAAGGATATGAGAATCTCTGCATTTCAAATAAGACCGATGCCAAGCTAGAGCATCATCATCCAAATTCATAGATACTATATGTACTTTTTGATTTGCAGCAGTATTGTCAACAGCAAAATATTGATCAATTCTATACAACCAGCTTTTTAAATTTTCACCATTGAATCTAGGAAATAGCAGATTATGACCTCGATTGTTAGGAGCATGATAAGGATTAGGCCCTAAAATTCCCTGACCTGATTGCAGCACATTATCTCTACCCTTGGAAGAGGAACTACTGTCTCGTGATTGTTGATGTAGCTACATTCCATCGATTGAGTTTTTGAGAGCTTCAACCATCTGTAGCATTTCAACATGTCGATGATCTAGGCCAGCTCGTAATTCCTCTATTTTCTGATCGAGAATTGAACGCAGATCTAACTATTGAGCAGCTAGGTCTTCATATTGCTCCTGCCAGTCTAGATCGATTTAAAGGATCAACAGCTTTGCGCGGTCCCATGGTCTAGCTCTAATACCAATTGATACAAAAAATTGGTATCTATTCGACAATCAACAGAGAATTGAGCAGAAAAGAGTAGGAATGAAGGAAGAAGCAGAAGATAGAGAAGAATACAGGAGAAGCTAGAGTGATGGGAGGGAATTTCGAATTTTCATTGACATTCAAAAGTAACTAATGAGAGATTACAACTTGCAATTTATTGTTGATACCCAATTTTCCCTATGTATTTTTACATGCAAATACTTTCAAAATAACATATATAAGTATGCCCAAGTGTTTTAGTATTTTTCCTAATTTTTAAAGGATTTTTAAATCAATTTATTGCTCATTTTAGCAGTACAAAAACCAATAATTATTCCCAAAATTATCATTTTTGGTGAATAACTTATCTTATTCTCATATTTATACCAAATGTAGCTAGGGTAATTTCTATACATTTTTACAAATTTATTTGGTATTTTAAAAGCCAAATTGCATATAATTGCAATTTTAGCCTATTTTCAGAATTAACAGCATTTTATAATTATGAAATTGGTTCCAATATTTTTAAATTAATATTTGTATATTATTAACTGATCCAGTACTTTTAATTTATTTTCGAAATCATTTTTTACTATTTTTATAAATTAAAAGGGAAAAACTGGCTATTTAAAATATGGCCCCATTTCGTTTCAATAATGGCCCAAATTGATCCCCTAATTGACCCAATTTCAAACCCTTAACAGACCAACCCAATTTCAATCCAACCCGCCTCCGACCCAACCAATTTAACCCGAATCAAACCATGTCTTCTAATCCAGGTCGTTGATCATTTTTGATCAACGACCACGATCATTCCTTGCCTTTTTAATCCCCAAAGACTACCCTAATCCCCCTCATTCTCTTCTATCAGCCGCCTCTGAAATCCCTCTCCTCTCAAACTCTCTCGAAACCCTAGCCTCTCTCATCATCTTCAACCTCAATCTCACCGGAATCCATGGACTCTCAGGCCATGGATAGCTTAAACTCATCTCCCTCTGCTCTTAAACACTTGGTATTCGAAGGTTCGAGGTCTGACCTCGAAGGTTTTTGTTTAGATCTTCGCCGATTCAAGGTTCTCTGGCCATCTCCGGCCCAGCTCCGGCACACTATGGTGTTTTGAGCCTAGTTCTGACTTATCCGACTTAGATCGGACCTTTTCCAAGCCTTTCTCATTCTAGGGTTCTTCTGAAACCCTAACTATTCGAGGTTCTCTCCGATTTTTCTTACATCTGTCACATATCTGTGCTCTACTTGGGTTTTTAAACAATTTCCCTAATTTTTTCTTTCAAAATTATCTTTTAAAAATCACTTCTCTTCGATTTAGGGTTTTCTGAAAGGTTCAAAATGTTTCTCCGACTTTTCTTTTCCTTTCTTTGTGTGTATTTGTCACGCATGTTCTTCTACTGCTTTCTTATGCTATCTCTCTACTATACATGTCCTTCTGTGCTTTGTTTTTCTACTGTGATACCCATACATTCTTTTGCTATACTTTTTCGGTATTTTTGTGTTCTTCTACTGTATGTGTTTCCTACCGAGTTCTTAAGTTTTTTTGCCTTCTACTGAACTTTGCTTGAGTTCTTCTAAAAGACCTCTTTAAACATATTTCCACTATTTTGTTCTTAAGTGTTATTGTTTTCTCTTCTACTGAACCCTGTTTAAGTCCCTTCTAAAAGGTTTTTCTTAAACATGTTTCTTCTACTACCATGTTGTTCTCTCATTAATGCTTTGAGTTAGTTTCTTCACTCTATTTGCTATGAATTTTCTATTGTATTTGCTTGTCTTCTAATGAGATTCTGAAAAGAAATCTCTGAGCCTGTTGCCTCCTCATCTCTGTATTTAACTCGAGTCAGAAATCCTAGAATTTGGGGGGTTTCCTCCGAGTTTGGTCATATGATCAGACTAGGGTTCTATGAGAACCCTGGACTCTTTCAGACTTATTTCTGAGTCTATGAACTAAGTTTGAACTTCTTTGTTTATGATTCTGAACTTTTAGATTCTTCTATGCTAGACTCTTCTACTGATTAACATGATAGTTCTTCGTGCTTACGCGTGGCTGTATGCTTTTATATGTGTGATGAATTCTTTCTTCCGAAAAGGTTTTCCAACTTATGATTGATTCAGAATCCTTTTTTAGGTTTGATTGATTGTTACTGATTTTCCTTAAGTCAAAATCTTTCCCATCTTTCTGACTTGGTTCATTCATACAAAATCTTCAATTTTTGATTTACTAGCTGTTAATTGATTCCCTTGCCTTAGTTGCACAAACCGTGTACTATCAAGACTTTTTCCTTAAATATACCTCTATGTATTTACCCCTCTTGTACTGCTTTGAAAAGGTGTTTGATTAATCTCTTTCCTTAATTATTTTTACCCGTTTGAAATCAGAATCCCTTAATTAAAGGGAAACCTTGTGAAATTGATTTTCAAACTATTTTCTTACCTATTACTGCTTGTTTTCTACACTATAAAAGGGCATGACCCTTCTGCACTTTCAAGACAACACATTACACGATTAGCACACATTACACACTTCAGACACTTATAATCTCACAGTTCTCTTCTAAACTCATAGCATTCTGACTACTTGTTTGCACTTTGGCTTTACAAGACTACTGCTTTCTTTTCCTTGTTTCCTTGAGACTGGTATGTTCTAGTTTTGGTTTAAGCATCATCCCGATGTGTTTACTTACAGCTTTTACATCCATGTCTATTTACTGTTTATGTGAAGTTTAAATGTCAATTAGCATGTTAATTTCCTTTCATCTGTTTCTGCTGTGAATCCCTGCACCCCTGTTTCCCTCTATGTGCTTTGAGTTGTAGTTCAGAACTTGGCAATATGCAAGTTATTGCCCATGTTTGGACTTGATCCCTTTGGGGATCCTAACTCCCAAAACAATGTGTTCTAACAGGCTGGTGGGGTGTGCCAGCACTTCCTATTGCTAGGTATGCCCACTAGCCTGTGTTTGCCACTTCCCCTTTTCCCCTTTTCAAAATTTCTTCTATGCACTTACAGTCATTCCTAGTTTCTAAGTTCTGCCCCCACTCCTGTGAGCCATGCCTTGGGACCTTGAGTTCCCTCTGAACTTGGACACTTGAGGGCTGGCCCTTCCACACTGCACTATGTCTCAATCTTGCAATGTATTTGGGTGTGAGCACTGCTCGGAGTCCATGAGGCTCTTAGGGAACTCTGACACACCCCAAATGAGAAAGGCTTTGGATCTTGGTCTTTGGAGTTGGTTTACATCATGCTTCAGGCAGGAAACCGGAATTAGGCTCTCCTTGGTTGTAATTTTATTTTTTATGATGTAATTTCTTTATTTTATTTTGGTCTGTAACAATTTTGTAATAAACTGCTGGGGTGATTAGTGAAAAAGGGAAGGGTAACCATGCATGCAAAGGGGTAGATATCATGTTCATAGGGAATATTTACACTTCTACACTCATGTATCCTGTTTTCAGCTTTCACTTCTGCATCTCATATAGAGACCATGTCTATAGGTTTCTGCACTTCTGCATCTCATATAGAGAACATGTCTATAGGTTTCTACACTTCTGCATTTCTATAGAGACCATGTCTATAGGTTTCTGCACTTCTGCATTATATAGAGACCATGTCTATAAGTCATTTCTGAAATGCTGCATATCATATAGATAATATGCCTATAGGACTTCCTGAATTTTGCATCTGCATCTGTCACTAGGCAAACCTGTTTATAGGTTTAAATAACTAACATCATTTTAGATACCATGCCTATAGGACTTCTGCACTCTTGTTTCGATTAAAAAAATGTTTTAAATCAGTAACGCCTAGAAAGCATGCCTATAGGAACCATAAACTAAATCTGAATCGTCCATTCGCTTACGAGTCTAAAATCAGTAGCAACAATAACGACTGCAGAATTTATATTCCTGTAATTGACAATTTCTTTCCCTTAAAATCGGTATACTTCTTTTTAGAAACTAATAGATATCATGCCTATAGGTTTTCGTTTAACACTTAGGCAAGCCATAGGGTAACTTGTAAATTGAATCAGATTCTATTAACTACAACCAGCAGGCAGGACTGGTTCGGGCTTCTTATCTGAAATATGTAATAGATCAGTTTGCCACAACTCTTAAGTTTAATCAGACCCTAATCAGTACGTGTAAGACATGCTAAACTATATGCTTCTTTTTGTTTTTAAGGAGGTTTGTCTGAGCCTTTCTATCTGTTATGTGCTTCTCCCCATATTTGTTACATATGTGTTTTGATTGTCACCTTAGAATTTTATCCTTTGAAACTATAAAACCTCACACCCCTTCCCTTTAGGATTAGTAGTCCCAAATACCTCCGGGGCTGATAGGATTGGGGCAGGTAATAGCATGCAATAAGAAAACGAGACTATTCCGCGCTTTAATACCTTAACGGGGTGGGAAAGGGTAGATATAGATATGATGACCACGCGATAACACCATGTGTATAAACGGTTACCGGGTGTTGTGTGGGGTGATCCATATTATTTATAAACCTAGGACCCCCCTTCCTTTACTTGTTTATTTTATTCAGAATTTCAAAATTGCTTTTTTTTTTCAAACTTCAGCTTCTTTAACTTCTTTTAATTACTTACCACAATTATGTGAAA